GTGTGCCACCTCGCCTGGCTGTACTTTATATAAAGAATCACACAATACATATTCTTTGTGTCTGGATTCTTTACTCTGCTGCGCTATGATTTGTTCATTCTCTTTGTTGTCCAGTGTTCCATGGTGTGAATATTTGCATTATCCAGGTGTACCTCAGATAGTCTTTGGCCAAAAATAAAAGTTGGGGAATGTGTCGCTCAGTGGTATAGCAGTTGCCTAGCACGTGTGAGGCCCTGGGCTCAATCCCTACCACCGCAAAAATAATATTTTAATAAGTAAATAACAGATTAAACACCATTACATCTAGACTAAGAGTCTTCCTAGAGAAGAGGGATGAATCTGTGAATAATCCAGGTCCCAAGGCAAATCATTCACCTGAGTAATAGCGTAATATGCTCCTCAAGGCTTCTGAAGAGGTCTGTGATATGCCAGGCAATGTGGTCATTCCAGATCATTTTTGGACCACTGACAGCATACAGTCTTGTGCTAGGTTCTACGGAGACCAGTGTGAAGATGCAGCTGCTGGCTCAGGGCTGACCTCTCTTAGGGGTAGAAGAGAGACCAGAGAATGTACTTCCAGACTGATGGGAGGTGCCGGGCATGGTGGCGCACGCCTGTAATCCCAGCACTCGGGAGGCTGAGTCAGGAGGATCGTTGCGAGTTCGAGGCCAGCCTGGGTTACAAAGTGAGCTCAAGGCCAGCCTGAACTGCATAGCAAGACCCTGTCTCAAAAAAAAGAAAGAAAGAAAGAAAGAAAGAAAAAAAGAAAGAAAGAAAGAAAGAAAGAAAGACAAGGCAACAGGAGGGGGACAGCTAGGACCTCTTCCATGCAGGAGCAGCCTGGACCTGGTCCTCTCCCAGCCCCTGGAGGAGAAAGGTGGCCACTCTCCCCCAGGAGATATGCAACTGGGTTTTATCTCCCCCCGGATTCTCATCCCTTCCAGAAGCCCAGGCCGCCCCAACCCGGGCAGTGTGGGCCTTTATCTGGGCTGTGTTTCCTCCCTGAGAACACCAGGCCTTGGAGCCGGAGGACGCGCAGGCTCCCCCCATGGCCATCTTACTCATCCTCCTTCTGTCTCTGTGTGGCCGCTCCCAGGCCGTTGTAGGTAAGGAGAGGTGGGAGATTCTTCAGCTGTGTGCAAGGCTGGGGAGGGAGGCTGGCCTTCTTCTCTAGGGCCCTTGAGTGGGCATCTGACTCAAGAGGACAGACTTGCCCCTGACCTCTCCCTGCCTCTAGCCCTGGGGACAGCGCAGAGGCGAGGAAGGTCAGGATTGCATACACTTTCCTTTAGAAACTAAAAACAAGTGAGTAAATGTTGACGAGACTAAGGCGTTTCCCAGCTATTTCAGCCTTATCCTCTTGCACCATTTTTTTTTTGGTACCGGGAATCGAACTCAGGACTGTGCTCTTGCCAGGCAGGTGCTTGTGCCACTGAGCTATATCCCTGGCCCACCCTCCTGCACTTAGATCCTCTCACTGGCTGGAGAAGAGGGAAGGAAAGTCCTTACACTCTCCACCTCTCTTTCATTTTTTGGGTTTCTTTTTTTGGTACCGGAAATCAAACTCCGGACCTTGTGCTTGCCAGGCAGGCGCTGTGCCGCTGAGCTGTATCCCTGGCCCTTTCTCTCTCTTCTGTAGCTGTCCCTTGAGAAATGTGTTCATTAGCCAAACCAGTACCGGGAGACCCCAGAGGAGTAGGAAGCTGGGGTTAGAGGTCACATGGGGGCTTCTCGATGTGATGGCGGTCTTTGGCCTCATACCACCATCTCCCCACAGACAACATCCAGGCCATCTATGTGGCCTTAGGGGAAGCAATGGAGCTGCCGTGTCCCTTACCTCGTATCCTACATGGGGACGGAGTCCTGTCTTGGTTCCACAGCCCCGCAGCAGGCACGTCCACTACCCGGGTGGCCCAAATCCAAATACCCAGCAGAGTCCCACACCTTGGGCAAACCGGAAGGGACTCCAGACTCAAACTCCTGGGAAACTATTCCTTGTGGCTGAAAGAGTCCCAGGACGGAGACGCCGGCCGGTACTGGTGCACCGTGCTGGGTCAGCACTTGGAGTACCAGAACTGGAGGGTGTACGACGTCTCTGTGCTCAAAGGTGAGCAGGGGCATGGAAGTCACGGGCCGTGCGGACTCGGGAAGCCCAGGACAAGAGCTAAAGGTTCCTGTGTCTCACAGGGTCCCAGTTCTCGGCAAGGGCTCCAGATGGCTCTTCCTGCTCTGTCCTCCTGTGCTCTGCAGTACCTGCCAGGCGTCTGGACTCTGTGGCCTGGCAGGAGGGGACAGGGCCCGTGAGAGGGCACACTCTGCCCTTCTGGAGTGATGGGGCTGCGCTGCTTTTGGTCTGTCCCGGGGAGGGGCACCCTGAGCCCAGGGCCCACAGACCAAGAATCATCCGCTGCCTCACGCCTCAAGACAAAGGCATCAGCTTCCGCCTGCCAGGTAAACTGAGGAAGGAGAGAGGGAGGGATTTCCTCCTACCAGCCAGGGGAGGAGGCGAGAGGAGGTAAACCGAGCCAGCGTGGGGGTAATTTCTGGCAGAGCAGACCATTGCTTATGTTCACTAAGTCCACAGCAAAATGGGATTGGTTAAGCCACTTTTCAGATGAAACAGACCAGCAGCCAAGACTATATTTCAGTGAAATATACCATTGTTTATAAATAGGGCAGTTTATGCCTTTTTGCGGAATATCCCATAGCAGAGAGGAAGAACATAAAATTATTGCTGAGGGAGTTGTCATTTGAACAAAGGATGTATGCACTGCTGTTACAATGGCCCATGGATAGTGGAGGCGGAAAGAAATATAGATAGATAGATAGATAAATAGATAGATAGATAGATAGATATACAGATAGAATTGTTCTGCAGTTAAAAAAAAAAAAAAAGCCATGATACTGCCAGGAGTGGTGGTGCATGCCTGTAATCCCAAAACTCTGGGAGGCTTAGGCGGGAGGACCACAAATTTGAGCCTGACATAGGCAATTTAACAAGACCTTGTCTCAAAATAAAGTAAAAAGGGCTGAGGATATAGGTAAGTGTGAAGGCCCTGGGTTCACTCCCTAGTAGCAAAAAAACCAAAAACCAAAAACCAAAAAAAAGCCATATACCAACTATGGAGTGTATAATAACCTGCCTTAGGGGGCTGAGGATTTAGCTCAGCGGTACAGCACCGGCCTGGCAAGAGCAAGGTCATGAGTTCGATTCCCAGTACCAGAAAACAAAACAAAACAAAAAAACCTATCTTCAGGGAGTATGCAGGGGCAAATGGCTGTTATTTGAGGAAGCCAAGGCCAGGGAAGGGGCAGTGGCTGGGGGTACTGCCCCCTACATCCTCCCCACTAAATACAGTGCAGGTGCACGGTGAGACCATGCAATGCTAGAGAGTGAATGAGTGGAGAAATAAATACATGGGAACCACTTTATTTTTTCTGGGAAAGGTGAATTACTACTGGGGCAGTTGTGGCTGGAGGTGTGCTCTGCAGTTAGCTGTCCATGTGCGGCAGGACAGCACCGCCATTCTCCACTGATGTTGGCGTAGGAGGTCGGGGCAGGATCCTGGAAAGGAGTAAAGGGGGGTAGTGGATATTGGGGCGCAGGGAAGTGCATGAAGTCTTCTGTAGGAAGAGCCCCCCAGACTGGGGGAGCCTCTCTCTGGGGTACAGGGTCAGGCCCCCTACCGCTTCCCTCCGGCCCCTCCTGTCTTCCAGCCTCCATGGATGCGCCTCCCACTGTCTGTGGCCCTGCCACGGGCTGGGATGCGCCCTGGATCCTGACGCTGCTGCTCACGGTGGGCCAGGGGTTCACCATCCTGGCCCTCAGCATCGTGCTCTGGAGGCGGAGGGCCCAGGGGCTCCAAGGCCAAGGTGAGACCCTCTCTCACATCTGGCCTCTGCCCTGTCCTCTCCAGGGGAGGGGATGGTGGGAACCCAGCTCTGATTGGCCTGCGGATTTCTCTTCTGTGTATCTCGTGCCCGTTCTCCCTAGAAGCCTCAGTTCCTCAGTTCAAGCCTGAAATCCAGGTCTATGAGAACATCCACTTGGCCTGTCTCCGGTAAGGAACAAAAGGCACCGGAGGCTTAAACCTTAGAGGGCCCGGGGAGGGGGTGGGGGTGGGAGAGGAAAGGCTAGCATGGGTTGGGGGTGGGGCCCTGGTTCCCAAGGAGGGAGAAGAGCCATCCTTAATCTGATTCCCTGCTTTGCAAACCCCACAGCCCACCTGCCCACAAGACCAGATGATCTTGGTGACATCTGCTGCTGGGAAGTGTGACCTGCTGGTTCCCCGCCATCTGGCATATAGAGGACGCAAGGGGGGAGGGGCTGGCTGTCCAGCTGGCCCTCAGCAGCCTCCAAGCTGTGTGGGGGGATGGGAGGGGCTGAAAGAAAGGAGCGGCATTGTTCCATGTCCTCCCTTACAAAAAGGTGTGGTCTCCTGTCTTGAAGTGGCCAGTGGAGGGGTGGTGCTGAGCATGAAGTGCTCTGAAGTTGGGGGGAACCTGGGCTAGCTGCTGCCAGTGGAAAGGGTGCGGTGGGCAGGGAAGAGGCAAAGCAACCCAGCTCTTTGGAGGTATCCGTGGTGGGGGGACCTAAGAACACATTCGAGGAAACTGAGGAAGAGGGAAGGGAAGAGACTCAGGTCAGCGCGAGAGGAAGGAGATGGACAAAGAGAGAAAAACAGAAGCACAAGTGGGAGAATCGCAGGACAGGGAAAACGGGAGGAGCGCGGACAGCCTCGAGCTAAGCCAGCACTTCCTCCGCCTAAGCGCACCCTCCTGAAGAAGAGAAGCTAAGGGGGCTGGCAGTCTAATCGGCCTGCAGACTTCCTCCGATGGAGGCAGAGGGAGCTGAGTCGGACGGCGCTGGCGCTCGGCCCCCCAGGGCACCCTCCTTATCCGAGGCACACACACTTCCCCGCCGTGCTCCCTGGCGGCATCCGGGGCGTGAGCAGCTGGTTGCCTCTGACTCCTGGAGCACCACCTCCCTGCGCCAGAGGTCATGCCTTTCTTTGTGCCTGAGAGGCTGCCGCATGGGACTCCCCGGGGGAGCTGTCTGGAGCCCCGACAAGTCTGGGCTGGCGAGGTGGGGAGGGGCATTCATGTTCCCAGCAGGCCGCTCCACTCTCGGGCAGCAGTGAGCTGGACTCCGGGTCGCACCCTCACAGGCAGCTGGGCCAGGCAGCCTTCAGAGTCTTGGCTCTAGCTCGGGCCTCACTGGGGAAGAGCCTTCTCGGAAATCTCGCCTAAAGCCTTCACGCTGCAGTGGCTTAAGCTAAGACATTGGCAGGAAGGAGGACGTGAATGATACAGGGAAAAATGAGGGGGATGCAGGGTTCTGGTGCCAGCACTTCAGCCCAGCCCACCAAGCAGCTGTAGCTCATTCTCAGAGAGCACACCTGTGCGTGCACACACACACACACATGCACGCGCACACACACACGCACTGCAGCATCACCAGGCTCCCAGATGGCCCTTTTATTAAATCTACTTTTTATAGCTCTGAAGCTAAGTCCCTCATTCCTGAGTTCTCAGTTTACCAAGTAACGTCTTTCCCAGCCAGACTCCTCGTCACCGTTCCAGTGTCCCTTCCGCCCTCTTGCCAGGGGCCCACAACCTCATCAAAGTGGCTACCTTGCCAGGGATCTGGGGCTAAGAGGGGACATCAGCACCAGGCATCTAGAAAGACACAGAACAAGGGTTTCTTTGGGGGCCGGGCTCTGGGCAGGTACCTGCGGGGCTGTTGGGCCCAGGGGTCTGAGGTCTTTGTACAAAATCAGGTTCTTGGGCAAGTCTCAGGTGTCCGTGCGGGGGTTGCAGGCCTGTGGTGATGGTGGAGGAGCCCTGCCCCGAGGCCCACAGATCCACACGAGGCTAGTGGAGGAGGCGGCCTCCCCAGGTGAAGCCGGTCACGAGGAGGACCAGGGTGGTGAGCAGAAGGCTGGGGAGCTGCCGGGTCGAGGTGGCCAGGTTGCACAAGTCCTGTTCACAGCACTGGTGGCGCAGCATGTAGGAGCGTGACCAGTAGGTGGCATGGCCTGGCAGAGGGCACTGGGCCCTGGGGAGGCAGCCTTTCCGCTCGATGACCTCATTCTGGTCTGTGGGACAAAGGAGGAATGTGGGGCAGCTGGCAAGGGAGGACGGACACAGGGACCGGCAGGAGAGAGGCCATCGGGTCAGAGTCCTACCTGAGGTGCCAACGCTGATGCCGCAAGCCTCGTCGTCCTGACACTCCGTGGGAACAGGGTAGCAGGGCCTGGCGAAGCTGCAGGCGTAACAGCGGAGCCGAGCCCGGGCAGAGGGCGTGGTGAGGCCTGTTGAGGAAGCAGAGATCATGGCAGGAGGAAAGGCAGAGCCCACACAGAGAGATGGGGGGGGCAGGAAACGGAGGCTGAGGAAGTAGGAAAACAGGCAGAGAAGGCAGGGGAAGTAAAAGAAACGGAGGTGGAGGCAGGAGAGAGACAGGGCTTGAGAGGCACACAGACAGGAACGGAAGCCAAGAGAAAGACGCAGTGAGAGACACAAGACGCCAGAGGGGTGCAGAGACGGAGGGAGAGAGGGAGGGAGGGAGAAGGTGAAGTAGATGGTGCCAGAGGCGGGTAAGAAGCCAGGAATTGACTTTGAGGGCCCGGCGCAGAAGGCAGAGCTCAGGGGAGATAAGTGGAAGACAGGGCTGAGAGGCAGAGGGAGCTCACACTTCTCCGCTTGCGCTGACCCGCGGGGCGGGCCGGTCCTCAGAGTGCCCCCTCTCACCCCGGCCTGGCCCCTGCCAGCCCCTGTCCCTTCCAGCCCTCAAGCTCCTCCGGCCCCTGGCCCATCCCCTGCCCAGAGAGCTCCCCACCCACCCTTACCCAGGGCCCCGCAGACGAGCAGGAGGCACAGGACGGCGCTGCGGACACCCATAGCGAGAGGCCGGATCCCGGGGAATGTGAGCTGCACCCCAAGCTGAGCGGAGCATCTGAGCGTGACAGGAGGGAATGGCAGACAAACACACCTAGGGAGAGAATCTGGGGGTGGGACAGTGACAGAATTCATTCCCCAGTCTGACTCACGGGGCTGGCCCTCTGCTCCTGCACCCCTCCTCTGTCTCTCGCCCCCTCCCTGCCCTCGCCTGGAGGGTCTTCTGGGCTCTGTGTCTGCCTGTGCTCCGCACCCTCTGCAGCTCCTGATGGTGTCTGTCGCCTTCCCTCCTGCTCCCCTCCCGCTGCCTGGGCTCCTGCCTCAGCTGTCCTGGCTCCCTCTGCTCTTTGTTTTGCCTTCTCTGTCCCTCGCCCAGGTCCTACTTCCAAACAGCCCTGGCCCAGATCTTAGAGAGTGGTGCTTGAGTGTGCAACCAACAATCCCACCCAGCCACCCCCCACCCCACCCATGAAGCCCAGCTGTGGAGGGGCCACCCCCACCAGCTTCACATCCCTTTGATCCCCCCAAAGCCTCAACATTCCTACCCCATAATTATCGTCCCCAGCTTTCCTCCCTTGAAGGGGAGAAGTAATCACAAGCAGGGCCTGGCCGGATGAATGTGTTTGCACGGAGGAAGGAGTGGGTAGGATTTAGGGAGAAAGGAGGGAGGCAGAATTTGCAAGACTGGGGTTTCAGAGGTTGGGGACAGGGCTGGGGTGTGGCTCAGTGACAGCGTACTTGCCTAGCATTTGTGAGGCTCTAGGACCCATTCACAGAATCACACACACAAAAAGCACCTTAACCAGAAGAGTCAGACCAGAAAGAGAGGGAGAGACAGGTGTTCACCAAGCAGCAGTTTTCAAAATTTCATCTCAGAATCCTCTTTCTTTGTTTCCTTCCCCACCCCTTTTCAGTACTGAAGATTGAATCCAGGGTCTCACACAAACTAGGTAAAAGCCCAAACACTGAACTAGACCCTAGCCCTTTTAAATATTTCAGTTTGATTTTGAGGCAGGGTCTTGCTGAACTACCCAGGCTGGCCTCAGACTTGAGATCCTCCTGGCTCAGCTTCCCTGGTAGCTGGGATTACAGGTGTGCACCACCACCACTCCCAGCTCTTTTACACTTAAAAATTACTGAAGACAGCAAAGAGCTTTCCTTTCTGTGGGTTCGATCAGTATTCACTATATTAGAAATTAAAACAGGACGTTTTAGAAAGGCATTGGTTGATTCACTTAACAATAAAAACAACAGACTTATTACATGTCAGCGAAACAAAGTTTTTCGGAAATTAACTATTAGTTTCCAACTGCCCAGTGAGGGAGGTGGCATCGCTTTTCATTTTTGCCAAACTATTTAATTTTAGACTTAGTGGAAGACGTGGGTTTTCGTATCCACATCAGTTTGTAGGGATTTGGCGTTCTGGCTGAAGTAGTGAAGAACATCCAGCCTTCCGCAGATGCGGGGAGCGTGGGGGACACCTCCAGGAGCCTGGGCACGGTCCCAGGAGGGGCCAGGAGCTCCCGAGAGGGTTTGGAAGCCCGGCTGAGGACTGAGGTGTTTGGGCTTCGGGGATGCTCCGAGCACCCGCCGGCCCCACCCCGCCCCACGGGGGCCCCTGCGCCTGCTGGGGGACGGAGACTCTTTCCACCCTTTTTATGGGCCCGTAAAGCCCAAGGCAAGGGGGATATAAGGCCGGCCGAGCAGGAGCAGGGCCGGAGGGGTGGGCGGCAGGGCGAGGCTCGGTTGACCCAGGCGGACGGGATGAAGCCCCGAGGTGGATGTGTCGGGATCCTGCTCTGCACCCTGCTGGGCGCTGCCTTGGGTAAGCAGGCCGCCGCTCGGCGCACCCACGCCTGTGCCGAGCCGCGCGGGCTGCGGGGCCCGAGTGAGCCAGCGCCCCTCTCTCCGCAGGGTCCCGCGCGCGGTGCTTCGACTGCGGGGCCGGCCCGGGCGGCGGCTGCGCGCACAGCGTGACCACCTGCGGCGAGGGCGAGCGCTGCGGCTTCCTGGAGCGCACCCCGCAGGCCAGCGTGGGGCAGCTCAAGCTGAACCGTGAGTCCCGCGCCCTCCCGCCTCCAGCCTGCCGTGTCACCCCCGGCCCGGCCCGGCGCCCGAGCGGGCTCGGCCGGGTTGTGGGCGGAGGGCGCTGTGGCCATGGCGACTCTCCACCCATCTGGCCCTCGCCGAGCCCGGAGCAGCCCAGCCCCGGGAGGACCTCGGGGGCCCCTTAGGGGCCGGTTCACTCCCAGAGAAAACCAGCCCCAACTTTCAGGAGCAGGAGTTGGCCAAGGCCTGGGGCACGTACACGTGTGTGTGTGTGTGTGTGTGTGTGTGTGTGTATTTTGAAATCATTTGGGGATGACAGAAAAGTTGCACAAGTGGCACAGAGAATATGAACTTCACCCAGCCTCGCTGAATCTCGCACAAACGTGGAGCAGTTGTGAAAAGCAGAAAATAGCCGAGGTGCAGGATTCGTTGAACCAGTCGTTCCACTCCTGTCGTTTTTTCTGGCTCAAGACACAAACCAGGATCCCACTTCACCTTTAGTTTTCCCCTCTCCGGAGACTTGCCAAGCTGTTGTCACCTTGACCTTGACACATTTATTTATTTATTTATTATTTATTTTTGACAGTGCTGGGGATTACACCCAAGCCTTTACAGCCTCAGTCCCTTTATTTTTTGGGATAAATTATCTCTGTCTCTCTCTCTCTCTTTTTTTTTTTTTTTTTGAGATAAATTCTCTAAATTGCAGATTTCCCCGAGGTTGGGCTCAAATTTAAAATCCCCTACCTTTACCTCCCAGAGGGCTAGGATTACAGACCCCGCACCACCATGCCTAGCTGACCTTGACACTTTTGAAGAATCCTGGTAGGTTATTTTATATTTTATTTATTTATTTATTTATTTATTTTTGTTTCGTTTTTCTTCCGGTACCAGGAATTGAACTCATGACCTTGCGCTTACCAGGCAGGGGCTGTGCCACTGAGCTGAATCCCCAGGCCCTGTATTTCATTTTTTTGTTCTTGTTTTCTGAGTCAGGGTCCTGCTATGTAGCCCGGGCTGGCCTTGAGTTCAAAGCCATCCTTCTGCCTCAGCTTCCTGAGTGCTGGGATTACAGGCGTGCACCACCACATTTGACTATTTCATAGTTTATTTTATGTTTCACACTGTTTAAGTTTATGTAATGGCCCATCTCGCAGAGGGGAGAGCACTGGAATAGGTTAGACATTCTTGCTGTAGCAAGTTCAAATTGTGCCAGACTAATTTTTTCTTTCTTTAGGTTTTTTTTTTTTTTTTTTGGTACCAGAAATCAAACTCAGAACCTTGCACTTGCCAGGCAGGCACTTGTGCCCTGGGCTATATCCCCAGCCCTGTGCCAGGCTATTTTGATAATTGTTTTATGTTTTAAAAATTTTTTTAAATTTACTTTTATGATAGGTTATTTTGCAGACTGCGCCGCAGTTTAGATCTACCTGCCCTTTTCACAGGGTGAGATTGGTGCCCGGGGTTTTAGGCAGCAACCCACCCAGCCTCGTTCTCTCTCTCTCTCTCTCTCTCTCTCTCTCTCTCTCTCTCTCTCTCTCTCTCTCTCTCGCCCTCAGTGACCTTGAGACAGCACCAGCCAGCCTGCGTGGCCATCCATCGCTGCAACCAAGTGGAAACAGAGTCGGTGGGAGACCTGACGTACACCACCCTCAGGGACTGCTGCGTGGGGGACCTGTGCAACGGCGCCGTGCCCAGCAGCCCGGCCCCCGCGTGCGTCCTGGCTGCCGCGGTCACCACCCTGACCTGGCTTTTGGCAGGACTGTGGATCGGGTAGCGGGCTCAGGGGCGGGGAAGGGAGCACGGGGGCTCTGAGCATCTGAGAAGACAAGCATTCCTCGGTGAGCCATTAAAATCTGTCGGCTCTTCTGCAGCTGACTGGAAAAATCCCACGGCTCTCTTGTCAATGGGAACGGGTGAGACGAGGGCATCTGGCTTCTAGTCTGGAGGCTCCCAGTCCGTCGGTGGACTCAGTTACAAGGGCCACACTCAAGCAAGACCCCCAGGACGATGATGAATCTGCCTGCAGGGACACGAGACGCCTTGCTAGGGAGACTCTTCTTAGCGCTGAGGCTGGCCGAGGCTCACAGGCTCTGGCCACCAGGGCCCCGTGAGCCTGGCTGTGTTTTCCCCCTGTTCATCCCATTGGCTCTAGGTAGGACTATTGTGAACTGAGAAAGGGGGTGTAAGCCCCTGATAGGAGCGTCGCCTGGATATTCCCGTGAGTAACCAGGCCAGGTGTGACCTCAGAGTCTTACCTGAGGGACTAAGGGAAGCAGGGCCCAGGCCTGTGCACCTCTTCCACACTTTCTGGGGAGCTCAAGCCGGGCTGCACCTCCTTCTTGGCAGAGTACCAGGGGCGTGCCTCAGTTTAGGATAAGAGCTGTTGCTCCAAACACTGGGGCCCGTGTGCCACCCCCAGACGTTGAAAGGGAGAGAGGAGGCCTGAAAAACCTGTTCCTCCTTTCGCCAGCCTGGCCTACCGGAGAAATACCCCTGAGGATTGTTGGGGAAGGCAGGGAAAGGCAGGGCGCCTGACACTTAGGTCTCCTCCTAGTAAGTGCGCAATTTATTAGACACAGACATTTATTACTCAAAATGGGAAGAAGTGAGTAGACGGTTTGGGGAGTCAGCCCTCAGGGACGTGAGGTCGTCAGGTCCTTCCTGGGAACTTGCGCTGGGGACGGGATGGAAGCCCCACTCCAGGCCCCGGTCCCATTTCCTCCGCAGTGAGGGCACAGCACAATGCCCCTCAGAGGCCAGTGGAGGATCCAGAGGGGCCTAGAGCACAATGGGAGAGGACTCAGGCAAAACGGCAGAGGGAGGTCACTCTGAGCACCGTCTCATTAAAGAAGGGACTCGGGACACGCTCTTCATAGGAAGGGCCAGGGAGAGACCATCCTGGGAAGCCAGGGGCCACGGGGACGCAGGGCGAGAGGCTCAGGCCAAGCGCTGGGAGGAGGGGAGCCGTGGTGCGAGCCTCAGTGCAGCAGCCAGAGGCCAAGGCCAGCCAAGGAGGTGAGGAACACCAGCGCCACGCCTGGGGCGGCACGGGGGGCGAGGCTGTTGCAGTTGTCCTTGTTGCAGCAGGTGGTGTTGTAGTTCAGGCCCAACTTGTGGTTGGTTTTATTGAACTCCTCACGACAGGGCTCCTCTGGTGTGCCACAGCGGAGGTTGGAGAACACCCACATCTTCCCTAGGGAGAGAGTGACGGAGTCAGCTAGGAGGGCACCCGGCTCACCACTCTGTGCGCCCACCCGGGCGCCTCCTTGCTTCCCAGCTCCCCGGCTCTGCCTTCTCGATCCCGTCACCCACCACAGCCGGCAGCTCCTTATCCTGAATCCAGTCCTAGTTCTAGCACCTGCTGGGGGGGCGGCCTTGAGCCAGTTGCAGTTGCAGCCCCTCTCCTCTCCTCCCCTCTCTTCCTCTCCTTTCTTCTCCTCCTCTCCCTTCATCCCTCTCTCCTCTCTCTTCTCTCTTTCTCACCTTCTTCCCTTCCCTAGGTCTCCCCTCCCCTCCCCTCTCTCTTCCCCCACCCTGCAATGGGAAAGGAACCCAGGGCCTCGGGCATGCCTGACACGCACTGTACCACTGAGCTACATCCCTAACACTATAATTTATTTTTGAGATTATTTCCTCAATATTATATTCGCACTCATCTTGGTTACTGTGAGCATTGAAAGAGTGCCTCTGTGAGGTGAGCATACTGCCTCGTGCCTGTGACCCTAGCACCTGGAAGGCTGAGGCAGGAGGGTTGAGGCCAACCTGAGCTTCACAGCAAGTTGCCAGCCCGAGCTACATATGGAGACCCTGTCTCAAAAAACCAAAACCAAACCAAACAAAAAAACAGTGCCTCTAAAGATATAAATCAGTGCTTGGCACACAATCCTCTTTGGCCAAATGCTATGTTATCACTGCTGTAACTCTTTTTTTTGTTTTGTTTTTCTCCAGTACGGGGAATCAAACTCATGACGTTGCACTTGCCAGGCAGGCACTGTGCCGCTGAGCTAAATCCCCAGCCCCTTCGCTGCTGTAATTCTCTTCCCTTTCAGTCTCAGCCCTGGCTGGAACTCAGTCCCAGACTTAGTCTCGCACCTGCCCCCTCCCCCAGCTCAGAAGGGGATGTTACCAAGGTACACGTTAGTTGTCAAGCACTGTTGCCCGGGCTCCAGGCGACAGGACTGCCGATCCACACAGCCCAGCACAGGGACCTTGTAGCAGGAGTGACAGCGAATGTCAGCTGGGGAGACATACATAAGTCAGGGTGACAGGGCGAGGGGACCCGATGTCTGAGCCACCTGGGGTGAGCTGAGCAAGGGGGTGGTTGGGGAAGGGCCCGTCAAGTGGCCCTCGGCCCTGTTGGGTGGCGGGAGCACAGGTGAGATACTGTGAGCGAGGCAGGTGGGCGGAGGCGAGGGTGGAGTTGTTGCTTGTGCCGGGCCCACACCCTGAACATCTTGTCCCACTGCGCCCATCGGGGATGAGTCAGGAGGAGCACATCCACCAACAAAGCACGGGGCCGGGGCGACCCAGGGCGTGAAGAAACCCTGGGGAGGGAGTAAGAGGAGGATGGAGAACAGACACTTTGAAACAGAAAGAAATGTGAAAAATAAAAATCGTGCGGCTGCAGCACTTTCACCCGTCAGAGCTGGCTTGGAAGCTGAGGCCAGCGTGACCAGCAAGGGTGATTTACCCTTCCCTCGCCGGGCTGCCAAGAGCACAGGAAGAGGCGCCGTCCTGTCCTGAGTGGAAGCCTCTACTGCAGTTCTGGGCAGAAGGAACAATGCCTGGCAGGGAGCACACCGGTTTGTGTCTCACCAAAACGGGTGGGTGCAGAAGGTGACGCCCCTGGGGGTCCTGTTTCAGCTAATTCAAGGTTTGGACGCGCAAAGTTTGGTGAAGGAGGGGTCCGCCCGAGGGTGGAGGGGCTGGTGAGTGTGCATCAATGAAACCTGCCTCACCTAAGGGTGAGCGGTCCAGCACCCCCTCCCTTGAGAGCTCAGGGAAACTCCCTGGCTCCCTAGAAGCATGGGGAATCCCAGGGATGGTCACCGGAACCATACAGAAACTCCACTCCCAACAGAGATGAGGGTATGCAGCCCGGGAAAGAGACGGGAGGAATAGGAAGGGCCACTGCTGAGCACCGGGTCCCTCATGGAGTCGACAGGGAGGCGGAGGTCCAAAATGAGCCTGGGTCTGGAGCCCTAGGTCTAAGGAGTCCTGCTGAGGGCCAGAGGTAAGAGGAGGAGATGGGCGGCTACATGCTGGAGGGTGGCTGGCCTGGGATCCAGACATCAGTGCCCAAGAAGAAGGCGGGGCACCGTGGACTGGGGAATAAGACAGAGCCAGGGCAGGTGGGACAGAGGGTCTCTCTTGGGGCTGAGGAGGACAGTGATGCTGGGAGCCTGGGTCCTTGGGAAGTGGAAGGAGGAACCTGTCACAGAGGGTCTGGTCCACGAGGCACAGGACAGATGAGTCAGGTGGGGTTAGGGGTGTCTGGGACCCTGAATGGTGGGCAGGGTAGGGCAGAGGAGGGGAGGCAGTGTCCTAACTGATGGGCCCCCAAGACTCACCTGTGACCCAGCAGAATAGAGCAGACAGGGTGAGCAGTTGAAGGCCTTTCATGGCGCCCGTCCTGACAATGGCAGAGGCCGCAACAGCTGACAGAGATTTTCAGGGACCTGGCTCTGGGAGGTGAGCACCTTTTTGGAATTTATAATGCCAAAGGCCCCTCCCTTCTCTGCAGCTGTGGGTGCCTCCCTCCCCTTTCACACATAGCTGTCCAGAGGCAGACCAGGTGTGGGGAGGGGCTGGCCGGCTGGCTTGGGACAGAGGGCGGGAGAGAGGCCAGGGAGGGCGAGTGCTGCCCGCGGCCAACTCCATTTTGGCTCTTGGTTTCAGGGCCCAGCTGAGAGCCGCCAGCACCCCGTTCTCTGAAGGGGCATCACAGTGCAGAATGGCCATTGTGACAGCTTCTGCTAGTGTCTAGAAACTGGACAGTGGGATTCGGCTGAAACTGACTGCCAAATGTAGGTGTGTGGGGACCCCTGGCAGGCGCGTGCGGGCAGAAGCTGGGCACGGAAGGGGCGGAATTCATCTCAGTTCACTTCATCTCCCCAGCTCCTGCTCAAGCACAGGGTAAAGGGTCTGTGATGTCATGGAAGGTCTCCGTGATGTCATGGGGGGGCAAGACTAGGGCTGAGAGTCCAGGTGGGCCAGGCACACAGGTCAGGGAGGTGCTGTCTCAGCCTCCCAAAGGCTCGTGGGTGGGGCACTGCTGGCAGGGCGGGACAGCGTGGCACAGAGAGGTGAGGTAGGAGCTAAATAAAGAAGTAGCAACAACAATGAGAAGCACCTGAATAGTGTTCCTGGCTGTCAGCCATTGTTCAGGGACTTTATATGCACTGTGTTGTTTGGTTCTCACAGTGTGCTAGGAAGTAGGTGCTTTTGTCTCCATTTCTCGGATGAGCAGCAGGCAGAGACTAAACGACGCACCTGCATGGCACGGCTGGTGGATGGCAAAGCCAAGATTCCTGATGCTCCCAGCCACTGCCGCTCTGGAGGAGTTAGGCAGGCACACGCGCTTGTGCCAAGGGCCAGGGCACAAACGTGAGCACTGTTTGAGGGCTGTGAGTTTCCCGGGGAGATGGAGCAGCTGGGGCCCGGGCACCCGCTCTTATCAGAGCCCACAGGACCGCCGCAGCCGCCCCCTTCCCTCCGGTCTCCTCTGCTGAATCACTCAACCTTTCCCCACTGCATCCCAACATGGCCCTGGTCCTGCAGCTGCTGCCTCTGCTGCTGGCCAGGGCCCACGGGGACGTAGGGGGTAAGCAGCCTGGGAAACTGTGACAGCCCAAGACCGACGTGGAGGAAGGGGCGCCTGGAGGTGGGGTGTGTGGGGAGGTCCAGTGGTGAAGGGCAGAGGAGAGGAAGGAGGTGGGGGGTCGCCTCGCCCTGGGGACTAGCTCTAACTGCCCCACCCCACCCCCTGCGCCTCCCTAGCTTCTCTGGTCGGCCGCCCTGGGGACCGGGTGAATCTCTCCTGTGTGGGGGTCTCGCACCCCATCCGCTGGGCCTGGGCACCCAGCTTCCCCGCCTGCCTAGGCCTGTCCAAAGGACGCCGCCCGATCCTGTGGGCCTCGGCCAGCGGGGTCCCCACTGTGCCGCCCCTCCTGCCCTTCGCCGGCCGCCTGCGTTCCCTGGACCCTGCCGTCCGCCGGCTGGAGCTACTCGTGAGCGCAGGGGACTCGGGCACCTTCATCTGCAAGGGCCACCAAGAAGAAGAGAGCCGCACGCTGCTTCACGTGCTGGGGGACACGGCCGACTGCAGGGCCCCGGGGCCCAGCCACGGTAGGCGGAGGCCAGCAGCCACGGGGGACTCCGGTCGGGCAAAGCGATGGGACACCCGGGGGAGGCAGGGGACCCCACTGAGCCGGAGCGCTGAGCGCTGAGCGCTGGCCCTGTCTGCCCTGACCTCGGCATCGCCCCCCCAGGGTCGGTGTATCCCCAGGTCTTCATCCCTCTGCTGGGCGCGGGGCTGGCGCTGGGCCTGGGGGCGCTGGGCGTGGTCTGGTGGCTGCGCAGGTGAGCGGGGGCGTGGCCTCGTGGCTGCGCAGGTGCGCGGGGCGCGGCCCCTGGGATGGCGTGGTCGGGAGCGGGGAGGGCGCGACCCGAAGCTGCGGGGGTGGGAGGGAGAGCGCGATCGAGCTCCGCGCGCGCGGTTTGGAGGAGGCGAGAGGTCGGCCCGGGAGAGCGAGGTCGCAGGGTGCCGTGCGCGGCCCTGGCGGAAGGGACCGAGCCAGAGCGCCGCAGGATGCGAGCGTGGGCCGCCTAGCGCGGAAAGGAGCCTACGCTGTCCCGGTGGGTCAGAGCCTGCAAGTTGCAGGGGTGACGTTGGCCGAGGAGAACCAGCGCGACGAGATGGGCGACTCTCACAGGCTGCCCTCTCCCTCGCAGGCGCGCGCCCCCGCCCCCGCTGCCGCCGCTGCCCGCGTTCGGTAAGACGCCTGCTCTCCAGGTGCTCCCACCGCGCCTTCCCCGCCCCAGCCCCGCGTCTGAGCCCCCATGGGAGCAGACCGGTTGGTCACCTTCTCTCCATCCGTCAGCTCTGTCCCCCCCACATAGCTCCACTTGTGAAAGCAGAGTCCCCGGCGCCCGCAGTGGAGTGGGTGGAACCCGAGATTCCAGGGGACCTGGACCCGGAGGAGCCGGTAAGGTCTGAGGATGGGAAAGAACCCCTGGAAGCCCTGGACAGAACCCCTGAGGAACGTGGACCAAGAGAGAGGTCTGGACCCCGAGGGAGTCAGACCGCTGAGTCCGTCTGCCTTCCTCCCTCACCTCTAGAGCCTGCTGTACGCAGATCTGGACTACATGGCCCTCAGGAGGCCCCGCCGGCTGTCCTCGGTGGTCCCTGCTGACGCGTCCACTGTCTATGCGGTTGTAGTTTGAAGGGCACCCTTTACCCCGGCCCTCCTGGGGGCCTCTCCCCTGGAAGGGGAATCCGGGGGGCAGGTGACCTGGGTTCCAGCTCCCTGCCGAAGCTCTTGCCCCATCCCTCCTACAACCTCCGCTATGGCTTCGCCAGCGGTGTCTTCTCTAAGCCTGATTGAGCCCTGTCTCCCACCTGAGACATCCGAACTCCCCTGCGTTTGCCCTGTCTCTTCAGAATCCAGCGTTTTGATCCAGGGGTGTACACCTGCTCTTTTCATTTTCTTCTGAAATTGAATTTCATTTTCTGCTGAAACTGCTTACCTACCCTCCACGAGGACGCCAGGGATGTCCTAGGCGCCATTCTTTAGCATTCGTCTGGCTTGGCTTTGATCACCCCCTCCTTTATGCTCTGTTCTACTTTGCTGCTGGTGTCCTCCTTCTGAACTCCTTATTCCCTCGCCCCACAGTGTGCCCCGCAATTCTAGGTTTGTTCCGTTCTTTTTTACCTTCACTCCCCTTCAGGAAGACTTCTAGCCACAGCCCATCCTCAGCCTCCAGCTTTGCAAATGGCTCCCAGAATTCTCTCCTGCCCAGATCTAGTACGGTGTCTCTGGCTGCCCCCGGCATTTTGCAAACATGTCAAACCCAACTCCTTGTCATCTCCCAAGTCACTCGGGGAATCCTCCTTTGCATTTACTTTTTTTTTTTTTTTTTTTCTTCCTTTCAAGACAGGGTCTCTTGATGGAGAGCCAGCTCTCCTTGAACTCACTATGTAGCCCAGGCTGGCCTTGAACTCAAAGCGATCTTCCTGCCTCAGCCTCCTGAGTGCTAGGATTTCAGCCTGTGCCCCCACGCCTGGCCCCTTCTCTGGATTCTCTTCCAGGTAACCCAGTTGCCCAGGCTAGAAACTGGGAGTCATGCAGACCTCTTCCTCTCTCACTCCCACATGAGCTATCAAGTCTTATCTTTCCACCTGACGTCACTGTCAGATCTACACCCATCTCCATGCCCAGCACTGACATCATAATGTACCTTCCCAATTTCCCTGCTGGGTCACCCAAAGCCCTGTCTCATCCTCCTGCCCTCTCGGAAGCCAGGTAGACCTTCCCGAGGTACTAACCCAATCCCCACAGCCTTCTCTCAGTACTTTGGTGTCTATCGCCATACCTTTCAGCTCTGGGCCATTTCAGTGTGAGGTGCCGCAGTGCTTTTTGTCACTCTCCAGGCTTATCTCTGTCACCCCACATGCATACAACATGGCAGCGTGGAGAATTCTCCCCAGCCCCCAAATACCCCCACTACCTGCTGGGATAATTCTCATTCATCATTAGGACTTGATTCAAGTGTATCCTTTTGTGCAAAGTTGTTCCTGACCCTTCTTCCCTACTCCTGCACATACGTTGATGCCCTAGGGAGTCTGTACTTTTCTCAGAGAACAGCCTCCAGTGAATTATTCCAGCACAATAATATCTGCTGTCTTTCCATTTGTAAGAAACTTTCATGGACTGTGAATTCCCTGTCGTCAGGAGACTGACCTTTTTATATAACTGCTGAGCTTCTCAGTAAATGAGTGAATGAAAATTAATGTCCCTGGTAATAACATTTTTTTCTTTTCCATAAAATAAAGGTGAACTAGTAATCTACCAGTGTCTGAATCATCTGGCATTTAGATAAATTCAGAGAGTGATCCACCCACATACTCCTTTTTCTGCTCTGGAATGCTGTCCATAATAGAAATCCTGACTGTCCCATTGTATACCTGCGACAGGGTTGGGCAGTGAATGACTCATTAAGTGCTTAATGAGTTTTTAAACCAAAGAGGCCTCCTTGCCAAACACTTCCCAGGGTTTCAGCCCTGTCCCATCCCTTTGCCCCAGTAAGACGTGAGCCACAGCCCAATCGAAAAGGCCAATTCTATTTTATTGGTTCTGAGAGAGAGAACTCACCCAGTGGCCCCTGCCCTTTTCCCACACTATGCCCTACCTTTGTCTTGGGGACCTCTCCCCACTACTTCCCACTACTCACCATCCTCCATCTAACCCTCCTTCCCTCTCTACTCCCTAGGCTGCACTACCCCTGGGCAAACAGAACCCCAGGCCAGGTCCTTAGCTGTGGGGGCGCGTGCTGAGCACCAGGCAGAGGGAGCTGAGCCCAGCACCAGCCTTCTCCAGTTCAGAGCAGGACACAGGTACCAGAGTGACATCAGAAAGCTTCTGCAATGCCTGCAGAGAGGACGTGGATGGAGAGGGACTAAGAGCAGGAAGCCAGAGCCACACCCACTTTTGACCAGCTCCTAGCAGCCCCACCCAGACTTCTAGAGAAGGTACCCCTCCATCCTCCCACTAGGAAAGACGTCCTCCCTCTAGGAAAGACGAGCCACCTATCTCTGGTTGGGGGCAGTCTTGGGGTGGGACTCTTGCCCTCCCTTACCTCCTGGCTGTTGGGCAGGTCCCCACCTCCCCGGTGCAGGAGGAAAGACGGTCCACCAGGCAACCCAGGACGCAGAAAGAGACAGTCAGCAGCTGCGTCATCCGGGAGGGTTAGGGAGGCATAAGGGTGATCTGTCAGCGCTGCCATTGCCTGGGAGAGAAGAAAGAGGCAGTGTTCGGTCTTAAGAGCTTCCCCACAATTGTTTGTCACTCTACCATGGACTAGGAGCCCTGCTCAGGGTCGGCGGCAGAGTGACATTTGTCAAATAACACCAGCAAGCACACAGCGCTTACTTTGTGTCCGAGGCTGCTCTAAGTGCTTCCACTACTTTGGTTCTAAGCACTTTAGTTACTTTTGCTAATTTCCACCTCCTAGTCACAAGCAGTTCTTTTCACCTACAACCCACTTCTCCCCTTCTACCTGCCTGTCCCGTACCTCCCACATGTCACAGCTTCGATGCCGCCTTGAGGGGTTTCTTGAAATTCTAGAAGAGCAAATGCATCTTCCCTCTCTGGTTTCTCAGCTCCCTGTCCTACTATTGAGCCCTTTTGCTTTTTCGTGTGTGCTTTCATACTAGATACGCAGCTCAGTGAAGGCAAGTGCTGACGCTAAGTGTCCAAGCCTCCCAGCTCCCCGCCACCCCCGCCCGGAGCCACGCCCACGCCCTCGGCCCCGCCCTCCCGCCAAGCCCAGCCCCTCCTCCCCGCCTTCTTTTTCTTTTTCTTTTTTTTTTTTTTTCTCACCCGGACCGCCTTCTGGGCAGCCTCACTGCTGCCTGCCACCACGGTGCGGGGTCCCCCCATGCCGCAGAGGCCGCGCAGGTGGGAGGGGCCCGACACTGGCACGGTGGAGACTGCGAAGTCCTAGACAGCAAGGGGAGGCGTTCAGGGGGGCGCCTCCTGCACAGGGGCCCTCCGCGGCTCCCTTGCCGGGCGCCCCTAGCCAGCCCCTCCCCAGGTGCAGCCGCGCTCACCCGGAAAGTGTCCGCCACGATCTCAGCTCCGCGGTGGTTGGTCCACTTGGAGAGGCCTACGAAAAACTCCCGGCCTGCGCCCGGGAGGCCGCGGCAGTTCGAGGGCGGGAGTGAGATGAAAACAGGGCCCGAGCCCGCCCAGTCTCCCAAACTTCCCGCGACAGGATCTAGGGGTGCTGGCCACCACCACCAGCCTCACCCGTGAAGAGGACGTCGGTGCCATCCAGCGTCGCGTTCTCATCCCCCATCTCCACGATTCGGAGCCCCAAGTCCTGGAGGGCTTTTCGGACTCCTTCAACCTTAGGGCAGCGGCAGAGAGCAAGAGGCTGAGACACGCACGCTCCCAGCTCCTCCCCCTCCCCCATCGCACCGCGCCCCGGCCCCCACCTCAGGTCTTCGAGCCGGGCTCCAGGGCCGCGTGATTAGGGCCGTGTCCCCTTGGATCACGGCCGTGTCACCGAGCAGTGGTCCCAGCGGCAGTGATTCTTCGGGAGGCAGTTCTAGCAGCTGTAGTCCCAGTCGCTGCCTCAGTTTACCCCCCAGCACCCCATGCTCCCTTTGAGCTTTGGCCAGGTCCAGAGCCGGAAGGCCGGCCACCGCAGCCTCCCCGGATCCCAGGCTCTCGGGGACACCCCGGATCAGGGCATGGGAGCAGCGCCCCAGCCCCTCCCCCGGCGGCCCCATCCCATCCACACAGACGCCCCTTCCGGCTGCTGCTTTCTCAGTTTTCTCTCTTTTCACTTCACTCGTCTGGAAGAAGAGACAGAGAGCGGGGAGCAGAGAAAGAGATAAGCAGAGCAGGGCGTGGGGTGGGTGAGAGCGCCCGGTGTCCTCCCGCTATCTCCGGGCGCCCCTCCCACCCGCCCCACCCCCTCCCGGCCTGCTTCCCCTGTGGACCCCGCGCCACCCCGCACCCTCACGCTGTTGCTTCTTTAAGAGGAGCCCGAAGAGCAGACGGGGATCCCTAATCTCCGAAACACCTGTTGCCCCAGCTGGGGGCTTCGTGAGGTCCCGGCCGAGCGCCCCTCTTGGCAGCCGCTAGGATGCGCTCACTCCCCAAAAATGCGGCGGCCCCGCCCCCTTAACCCTCAGCAGCTCGCCGCCGGTGGGACCCGAACTCCGGCCGGGTACCCACCCGGGTTAAGAGACAGGAGGAGAAAGTGAGGGGCGAGTCGGGCCTGGGGGCTGGGAGTCCTGGACGCCCCAAGGTGAATGGGGTAGAGGGCGAGGAGAGAGAACTTAGAGCCTAAGGAGTTAAGCACCCTCTCTCCACCCCGGCCGGTCACGCTGCCCGTGTCGCGACCCGGTATAAACCAGACTGAGTCCCGGAGGACTGGGAGAGGTCGAAAGCGAAATGCAAGGGGCGGAGAGCCGGGGCGTGGTTCACCAGCGGGCGCGGGCGCCACTCCTGGCATCAGGACCCTGCACCCCGTCCACCTTCCACCAAAGTCCACCCCGCCCAGCTCCGCACCCAAACGCCAGCTGCCCGCTGGTTCCGTCCAGTGAAGGCTCAGCACGCCTGAGCTCCAGCCCCTCTGCGGTCCAGGGGAGCCCTTTCCCCCGACTCACCTCCTGTGGTCGCCCCCACTCCAGCGGCAGCGGGATCTGGGAGGGGGCCCCTCCCCCACAAGGCAGAGTTGGCAGGGGAGTCCTAGTCTTCAAGCCCCGGAGACGGGGAGCTCTGGGTCTGAAGGGGTCTCCGGGCCGGGGAGCTCACGCACCGCGGCGGGGCGGGGGCGCGACGGTCTGGCGGCTCCGGGGCATTGTCTAAGCGGGACGGGGCGGGGCCTCCCGGCCAAGCCCACTCCGCCGCGCTAGGCCCCGCCCCGCAAGCTCAGCCCAGGCCCACCCGGATCTGCGGGCTCTGGCGGCGGGGCTGCAAATGCGGCATGGACCACAGGGCAGCGGTAAGGCGGACGGGCACTGAGAAGGGCACCCCCGCCACAAACACCTAGCACTTCATCGCTGGCCTCTGCCGTGCGCTCAAGATCACTGATCCTTCCGTGTCAACCACACTTTACTCCTTTGTGTAAAAACAACACTAGAGTTTCATTCTGTATTTTATTACTGAAATACTTGTCCTACCCACCCGCCCCACAATAAAAATCTTACCCCCCCATCTTCCCTTCCCTTCCCCAGTTACCCACCCACCCACGCTGCACAAGTGCCCAGGAGGTTCAGCCCACCGGCCATTGTGGAGTGTGTCCCTGCCAGGGCCTCTGTAAGAACATGGAGGGAGGTGGGTGAGGGAGCCCTCACTCCACACCACCTTATTTGAGGGCCTTGGCCACTTGCTCATAGGCCAACTCGATCTCCTCATCATCTGGACAGGTGGAGGCAAATTCTTCCCGGGCGTAAGCGTTGCTTAAGTACCGATGCACTCCCTGAAAGGCCTCTGGGATGGTGAAGCCCCTGTACTTCTTACAGACCACCTGAGGGTGGGGAGAGGGGACCAACCAACAGGTTAGGGCCAGAGCCTCCATGCTGGCTTTCCTTCCTATCAAGAACTGCATGATAAGCCGGGCGTGGTGGCGCATGCCTGTAACCCCAGCACTCAGGAGGCTGAGGCAGGATTGTTGCAAGTTGGAGACCAGCCTGGGCTACAAAGTGAACTCCAGGCCAGCCTGAACTGCATAGCAAGACCCTGTCTCAAAAAGACAAAAAAAAAGAACTGCATGATAAAATCACACTTCTTGTCCAAGCATTCAAGAACCTCCACCTCTGGCTATCTCCTACATAAAATTCTCCAAATCAGTTCTCTTGGCTTCTCTATTGTAATGTCTTTATCCGTCTCTTCACTCACTGAAATCCCAGCCATTAATAATCAGACCCTCAGGGTATGGGGGCACACACCTGTGATCCCAGCACTTGGGAGGTTGAGGTAGGTAGGAGGACTGCCCTGAGTTTGAGGCCAGCCTGGACTACATGGTGAGTACAAAGTCAGCCTAAACTACACAGCCTGACCCTGTCTCAAAAACAAACCAAAAAACCCAGACCCTTTCTAGACCACCCCATTCATGGTACAACTTTTCTCCTCTTGATTTGTTTATTTCACAGAACTAGGAACTGAACTCAGGGCCCTTGCACTGAACTAGATCCCCAGCCCTTCTTTAAATTTTCAGAGAGTGTCAAAGTCACCCGGTCTGGGCTTAAACATGCCACTTTCCTGCCTCAGTGTCCCACAGTTTTGGGATACAAGTGTGTACTACCACACCTGGCTGATGGCTTTGTTTTTGTTTTTGAGACAGGGTCAAGCTGTGTAGCCCAGGCTGGTCTCAAACAGCAATCCTCCTGCCTCGGCCTCTTGAGTGCTGGGATTACAGGTGTGTACCACTATGTCTGGATCTTTGCTCTGGTTTTATATTTGATGTAGGCTGCAGATGTAGCCCAGTGGTAGAATACAGACTTACCATGTGCAAAAGTTAGGTTTGAGCCCTCACCAAAACAAAACAAAAAGTGATATAATTTATCCACTATGAAATTCTCCTGACGTTCTACAGTGACTTTTTTGTTTCACCATTTGACTTTTAATCTCTCTCTGCTGTGCTGGACATGGAACCCAGGGCTTTATGTGTTGGCAAGTATTCAACTACTCAGCTACAACTCCAGTCTGGTCATGTATTATTACTTAACTTTCTCACATGACTGTTTTATCATGTATTATTGGTCCTTCTTTTTAGGAAAAGCCAAAAATCAAACAGTATTTGTCTTTTAATGCCCACTATACAATGTCTATTATTTAGTTGTCTGGCCAGCTGACATTGGGCTCTTGTTTCCTGAACTGTACTATTGCTTTGAAGCTGACAACATGACAGAAAATATGGGAAGCAGCAGTTTTCATTTTCCTCAAGAGGAAGTGAGAACAGAAGTTAAGAGTTACAGCTTTGATTTAGGGAAAGCCTGCTCTGTCTGATCTGGAGATGTGTCACCCTTGGCCCAGTACAGAGGGTCAAACCCAGAACCTCTGAACTGAGCTATATCACAAGCCCTTCTTTCAATTTTCAGACAGTCTTGCAAAGTTGCCCAGGCTGGACTCTAACATGTGCAGCTCCTGCCTCAGCCTCCCAGACAGCTAGGATTACAGGCATGTGCCACCATACCCAGCTCAACCTGAGATTTGGCAGTGATATAAAGACAGGAAGAACCAGCCGGGCGTGGTGGTGCACACCTGTAATCCCAGCACTCGGGAGGCTGAAGCAGGAGGATCATTACAAGTTCGAGACCAGCCTGGGCTACAAAGTGAGCTCAAGGCCAGCCTGAACTGCATAGTGAGACCCTGTCTCAAAAAGACAAAAAGTAAATAAAGACAGGAAGAGTCTCCCGGAAGTGAATACTGAAATGTGTTACTCTCAGCCAGGCCGTGAGCACCCACAGACTGCAGCATGGAATGTACTTCCCTCAAGTCAGCTACAGTTGCTGAGGACTGGGGTGGGGATTGCTGCTGACAGCAGTGCATGGAGACCACCCCCATGAAAGCAGCCAGCTTCAGAGCAGTTGTTACGATTGTTTTTTGTTTGTTTTTTTCCGGTACCGGGAATTGAACTCATGACCTCGCGCTTGCCAGGCAGGCGCTATGCCACTGAGCTAAATCCCCAGCCCTCAGAGCAGTTGCTATGGGAAGGCCGTGGGAGCCCCTCAGCCACCCAAGCAGCCATGCCCCTCACAGTGACTGCCCACCTGTACTATGTGCAGCTTTGGCAACAGGTTGCAGTCAGCCAGGGTGAGCTCATTGCCATCCAGAAACTTCCTCCGAGAGATGCCCTCATCTTCCGCACTGGTTTCATCCACTTCTTCTGGGAGTGGGGATACCAAGTAGTTGTCTAAAACCTTCAGGGCTTTTAGGAGCCCCTTCTCCAGATCTGTGTGAGAGAGGGCATGGATGAAACATCAGAAGACTGACACAGCCTATCCAAGACCACCCACGGTAGGATGGTGGAGCCAGTATAAAATAAGAATAGCACACACTAATGTAGTTAGCTTGCTATATGGTTATTCTAAGCAATTTTTTTTTTCTTTTGGTGGTGCTGAGGATTCAACCCAGGGCCTTGCATATGCTAAGCAGGTATTCTACCACTCCCTTATTTCAAGCACTTTAGAAACAAAAACTTGTTTAATTCTCACACCAACCCAGGAAATAGGTATTACTATCCTCATTTTAGAAATCCATAATGGATTTACCGGGAAGTTAAATGAATTGCTCAGAGTTAGATTTGTACTCGCGTAGTCTGAATGATTCTTTATTTTATTTAATTTTTAAAAATCTTTTTTGTTAGATCTTTCTTGCATATCTGTCTTCCTGAGAAACCACTTTGAAGATACCACCACGTATTACAGCAGCCATTGATATTTTCCTACTAACCTGTCCATAACTCTGTAATGTTTGTATTGTTCCTACGCTATTTCGTAAATGGGTGTATGTTTATTACTATGTTTTCTACTACAACCATTGAGAATAGTCAATGAATATTCAACTGGTCCAAAAAAAAATCTTTTTGAAGCAGAACAAATAAATAGCCTAATGCTGTACCTAAAAATCTTTTTGAGACAGGGTCTCACTATGTAGTATAAGCTGGCTTTGAACTCACTTTGTAGCCCAGGCTGGTCACAAACTCGCAGTGACCCTCCTGCCTCAGCCTCCCGAGTGCTGGGATTACAGGTGTGCACCACCACACGCGGCTTTGTGAATGGTTCTTTAAACATAACCTTACTCCGCCAGAAAACAGGCCAGCAGCCAACTAATGTCCCAAGGGGGGCAGAAGAGGCTGGGGAACAAATGAGAGAGGCTTGAAAGTCTCCTCAATGAGAAGGCAGAGAGACACAGAATAAAGCAGAAACGGAGGGCGGGGAAGGTTTGCTAGCATCTGTTCCATCTCCCTGATATCTGATCCTCCAGTTGCCTCAAATGCCTCGAGCCCGGGTCCCCTCCCCAGCTCCAGGACCCACGCCTCTGACCCGCAGACTCACTATCATTGAGCGCTGGGTTTGAATTCTTGATGTAGGCAGAAAATTTGGCAAATACGTCCAGCCCTGCTGTGTTGGACTCAGGGTTCAGAGCTGCCAGCTTGGGGTACCTGAAAGCCATTGGGAGAAACAAGGTAAGTCATCTTCCTGGGGGAGCCTCAGCGAGCTCTTCGGCCCCTGCCCCACCAGCATCTACATGCTCCTCTTCTTCACCCTCTCTGCTCTCCAAAGTCTGCCAGCGCCCAACCCCCGGCCTTCTCCCGGCATCCTATACCTGGGAGGGCACAGCATGGCCTCCAGAAACTCCTCAATCTTGTTGGTGTCTGTGTGGACTTCCGTGCCATACAGCAGGAATGGGAGCTGCCCTCCTGGGCACAGCTTCTGCACCGTCTCTGTGCGCCTGGGGAAGGGGCCGGATGTCAGGACAGGAAAGAGGCACCGGAAACCAGAGAGAGACAGGCTCCAATGGGGAAAGGCGGAGGACCGAAGAAAGGAAGGAAGGACGGACTCGTGGGCGGGTACCCACATTTACATGCAGGAGCGAAAGAGGAACAGAAGTGAGCCCACCTCTTGGTGTCAACGGTGGTGACGTTGAAGGTGACTCCCTTGAGCCAAAGCACCATGAACAGTCTCTGGGAGAAGGGGCAGTTCCCGATCTTGGCCCCATCACTGCCAGCCTGAAAAGCAATCCCCACACAGGGTAAGGCCTGGTGCAGCCCCTGGTCACTCCGGGGTCCCTGCTCCCAAACCCGCTGTGTTCTGCCCAGGCAGGACACAAGCGCCGCCCTCCCCCTAAAAGCCACCCCCAGGGCAGATCAATGAGAAAACTGCAAAAGCAGGCTTCTGGTTTCCTGAAGATAAAAACCGGAGAAAAAAGCAGAAGGAATGGGTCTTGGAGAACTAGGCGGATCTGAGTCCTAGAGAGGAAAAGGCGCTCCGCTGAGGCCAGCATTGTTGGCTGGAGCCCTGGATTCCCCCTTCCTGAACGGCCCAGAATCTGAGGACAGGAGAGGTGGGGCGGGACTAAGGAGCCAGAGTTCCGTTCCCTACACCTCCATCTACTCTGTAACAGATTCCTGGCTGCAGACTCAAGGGGTCTGGGGCCTGGCGTGGAGAAGGGGGCTGCCGTCTAATTGGCAAGTGGTGACCTCATCCCCCAGGGAGCCTCCCTGCCAGGCTGAGCGTGATTCATCTCGATGTCTCCGCCTCAGGGCTTCCTTCCTGGCCAGGGGGTGGGGGCAGGGCCTGGGCAGCTACAGCCTCCCTCGGGCGCCCCATTCCCATCACTCGGCCCCTGAATGCGTCCTCAGGCCCCCATAACCCTCTCCACCGAGCACTCCGGCTGGAATCTCAGCACACGGCCTCACCCAGAAGTAAAAATAGCCCCAGAAACCAGCAAGGGGGTGAGGTGGGGACCACACCTAAGGGGCGGAGGGGACCCAGGCTCCAGTTGACTTCAGGGCCGGGGAGAGGGACTGGCTGCCCGGGAAACCGAGCCTACCGGAGGAGAAACGGCCGGAACACACAAAGACGGGCGAACAAAAGGGAAAGGTGGAGAGAGAGGAGAACGTGCAAACAGGGACGCACACCAGTGGACAGCGGGAGGCAGGGAGGGGCGCGGCGAAGTCCCCGACGGGGAAGCCGTGAAGGAGGCGGTCGGGAGGGCCCAGGGCCGCCGCCTGTGGTTCTGATACCCAGCTGCCACGGAACCAGCCCGTCCGTCCACACCCACAGGGAGCTGGCCGAGTCTCCTCCTGGTCTGCAGACCGCATCGGAGCCGGCCCAGCTTTCCTCCTCTTCGGCCTCTCCCTGACTATCCCCAGCGTGGCTACCGCTAGACTCCCACTCCTTCCCGCTTCTCTTTCTCCAGCTTCGCCCAGTCCAGTCGGGCTGTTAGGCTCACCCCACCACCTCCCAGCCTGTTTCCCAAACTCCGCTCCCACTCTCCCCTCTCTCCTCGCTTGCCAGTTCACGTCCTTCCACTCCCAGGTAGTCTGCAACACACCCTTTCTGGAACCCTCCCTGCCACACGCCCGCACGCGCGCGCACACACACGCCTCCCCGTCCCCCTGGCTTCCCAGGGTCGCGCGGATGCTTCCCTCTGTCCTTCCTAAATCCTGCCGGGCTCCCGCTCCCCGTCCGCGTCCGACCCACCGCAGTCTCCTCGCTCCGGGAAACTCCTTTGCCCCACTTTTCTCATCCTGTACAGGCCGCTGGGAACTTGCTCGGCTTTAAACTTTTCGGGGTTCAGTCCGAACTCTGCGTCCCAGGGACCTCCCAGCTCGCGTCCCCGCACCCCGCCGCAGCGAGCCGCACGTGGCCGGGTGGGACCGGGAGGCCGGGCCGGTGGCGGGCCGGCCGGAGCGGGACGGGGAGCCAGGATCGGCCTCAGGAGCCGGGGGCCCCGATCGGGCGCGGCGCCCTTACCTTCACGAACAGCTCGACCTGGGGCTGCTCCTCGGCCATGGCTGCGTCGGACCAGGAAGCGCCGCGCCGGGGGCTGGGAGGGGCGGCGGGAGGCGGGGCTCCGCTGGGGCTCCTGCTGCGGGCCGGGGCGCCCCGCTAGCGCCCAGCGCGAGTCCGCCGAGACCCGCGCGCCGCACCGACAGACAGACGGACGGACGGACGCGGCCTCCGCACCTGCCCTGCGCACCCGACGCCCGGCGCCGCGCTCCGGCCCCTCCCGACGGGGCGGGAGTCGCTGACTCACCGGCCGGCCCCGCCCCAGCCCGGGACTTGCGGGTAGGGACTGGGTGCGGAGGGAGCGGGCGCCTGCCTCCCCGCGGATCGCGATGGGGGCCTGAAGAGGAGGGGGGGTCTGGGGACCTTGTCTCTCTGACCCTTCCTGGCTAGAATGCTTCCTCCTGCCTCAGTTTCCCCGTTTCATTAATCGGAAGGGTTTTCCACCCTCCCACGAGAAACTTGACACTAACGGCTGGGGCACAACCAGAAGATGCAGAGTGGAAGGGTTCTGCATTCCGTCTAGACTCCACTTTCCACTTTCTGGGTTGCTACTCAGGAGGCTGAGGTAGGAGAGTTCAAAGTTCAGGGGCAGCTAAGCAAGACTTTGTCTCAAAATGAAATAAAAAGGACTGAGGATGTGACCCAGCATGTGTGAGGCCCTGGGTTCCATCGCCAGCATACCCCGCGCCCCCGCAACAAAAATAGAAACAGGTTGGTAGAACTCTGATTCCCGAGAATTGGAAAAGGAAGCTGGGACGGGGTGCTGAAAGTAGTGCAAGAATAAGCAGGGAGACCAGGAGGCCCTAGGGAAACAGGAAGTGCAGCTGTGGGGTCTATGGCCGGGCCTCCTCTCCCTAGCTTGGCCAGCTTCAGTGCTTCTACTTCTGCCCCCATCCTGGGCCCCTTCCTGTGCTTCTTGCCTTGTTGTGGCTGGTAGGTTGCCTTGGAGACGGGTGCTGGGGTAGTTATCACTGCACTAGGGTAGAGCTGCGCCATCCTGGGGCGGGTGGGGGCGATAGCAGTTCCTATCACCGGCATAAAGCAAAGGTCAGACAGAAAAGTGTGAGTGGAGTCCCGGGGGACACCTGCGAAAGTAAATAGGAAGGACAGCAGCAACACAGCTTCCTCCCTTCCCCAGTAACTTCAATTTGGGAGGTGCTACCAGACTGTGATCTACTGAAAAAGCTCCAAAATATGTCCTCAACAGCACACATTCCAGCCACCACATCTGAGTCTCTCTCCTGTCCAGCCATCTTTCCTCCTCACCACCCTCTGCCCTACAAAAGGCCTATAGCTCCAGAAAAACACGATGGGCTGCCAGCAACACAGGGCTTCGAATTTACCGAGGGAGAGGCTTGGGGGAAGAGTGGGGTGGAGCGACCATATGCATGGCTAGAAACTAGCAGTTAGTGGTTTCCTCCCGTGCTTCCTCTTTTGTGGGGTATCTCCTCCCCGGGGAAAGGCTCTTTTCTCTTCTCCCCAGAAAGACAGGGTATATTTGGTGTTTGAGCACTTGTAAGGATGTAGAATAACTGCGTGTGTGTGTGTGTGTGTGTGTGTGTGTGTGTGTTTGTGTGTGTGTGTGTGTGAAGCCCCTCCAGGGGCCCCCAAGTGTGCACACAGGACTCCTTGCTACTAAGGGGAGGTGACCAAAACAGCCCTTCTTCCCGGGGTCCTCTTCTGTTCCCTGTCAGTGTCCACCAGAAGCCCCTTGCACGAAGGTCTCTCTGGGAGAAGTTCAGGAAAATGGGCCCAATGTTAAGCTCAAACAGGTTTGGCAGCCTCTGCCCTGCCTGTTTTCTTCTACAGCTTTATAGATACAGCCGCCTCGATCACCAGTATTGACTTTGGCTGGTTGGCATGGCTGCCCACAAGGTATGCCGCCTTAACTCTCCAGGTAAGGGCCAGCGCTGTCCTCTCTGGAGATGTTCAGGGGTGCCTCATAAATTTGAGACCGGGGTTGCACCCCTAAATCCTGCATCAGAGAAGTTTATCTATTTCATTCCTGGCCCCTGTTTTTTGTCTATCTTTTTTTTAATGTTGAACTTTTTTTGTCTTGTTTTGTTGTTTTGTTTTGTTTTGTTTTTGTTTTTACCGGTATCGGGAATCGAACTTACAACCTCACGCTTGCCCGGAAGGCGCTGTGCCGCTGAGCTAAATCCTCAGCCCCTTTTCTTCTGTCTTACTATCTTTTCCCTCTCTGGGCTTCTCTTTCACTCTCTACCCCTCCTTGCTTGGTAAACCAGTCCCTAATCACTTCACACCCCACACTGGAAGGCGCATTCCTCCCTGCCACACCCCAGAGCTGTCACCAGCCTCCTCCAGGTTTCCATAGCTTCATTGCTCAACATTCTACCACGGGTAACCATTAACTCAGCCCTAACTCTGCTCCCTGCCTTTCCCACTGCAGGGGATTTTCCAGGCACTGGTCAGCACGGCCCGGTCATCTCGCGCTCTGTCTTTCCCAGCCTCTTAGGCAGGACCTGCCCATCCTCTCGGCTCAGGATACCAAGCTGAGCAGGAAGATGTATTTAAGGGATTTTTTTTTTTTGGTACTGGGGATAGAACCCGGGGCCTTCCCACTGAGCTATATCCCAGCCCTTTGTTTATTTATTTTTTTTAAATTTTGAGATAGGGTCTTACTAAATCATCCAGGCCGTGCTTGAACTTGCACTGTTCTATCCTCAGCCTCTAGAGTAGCTGAGATTGTAGGTGTGAACCACCACACCCAGCTAGTTAAGGATTTTTAAAAACTATGTATGTGTTTGTCCCTTACAACCTCCTGCCTTCCCTCTCTCCTCTAAATACACTAAAAAATAAGCTTCAGGGAGCAGTGACACTTCAGTAAGCTGCACTGTTTAAAGTCCATTGTCTGTCCAAGAGTAGGCACTAAATAAATAGATGGCGAAGGAATGAATGACATCCTCTGTCCTTAAGAGTGTGTGTGTGTGTGTGTGTGTGTGTGTGAGTGTGTTTGCATGTAAGGGTATTGGGCATAGCCTAATAGTGGTGTAAGTTTTCTTACTAGGTCTATAGCTTTTCGAATATGGGGTCATTCAAATATTTCCACCTCCTCTTGAGGAGCTGAATAATAAATTAGGCCCCATAGTGCCCTCCCTTGTGGGGGTGGTTATAGCCTGCGCCCAGGAAACACGGAAAGTAGGGCTGAGATAGCAGTCCTGCTTCTTATTTGTACATATTTATTTAAAGCACTCACGTAGTTCTTACTTTGTTTGACAGGCGCAGTTCTAAGTTCTTTACAAATATTAACTCGGAGGATACAAACATTAACCTAGAGTTGTTGGCACAAGTTGAATTAAAATTGCGTCTCTCCATTCTCCAGGAGGAAAAAAAAGTACCTCTGGCCCTTTAAGGTCGGCCTCCTCCCCCATTTCCTTAGACCCCTTCCCTGGACCTGGACTCTCCTCTGCCTCGGACCTTCTCTCAGGCTCCACCGCACGTCAATCAAAGCCCAGAAAAGCAAAGGGGTTGAGTCCTGGCTGCTAAGCAACGGTAGAAGGCGGGAAGTTTGAACGTCATGGCACCGCCCCCCAGTGCGAACGGACCAATCAGCGCCCCGACTTCTGCGTCGGTCATCCCCGCCTCCCTCTGGCCCTGTTAGATCTCTAGACGGGATCCGGGCCTCGCGGACCGCCAGTGGCTCGGAGGGCGGGACCTGCGCGCGCATCCCCCTCACGGGCTGGCCGCCCCTCCCGCAGGCTCTCTGCGGTTGGTCAGTGGGGCAGTGTCGTACGCCTTGCGAGCCAGGTGACGAAAAAGGCGGGAAAACAGAGTTGGCAGTGGCGGGTAGTGGGGAGAAGAGCGTGAGGCTGTGAGAGGGGATGTGGGGACAGAGGCAGTCAGATCCCTCAGGCCTGCGCGTGACAGAACCGAGGGTGCGGCGCGTGGAGTTTCGCAGAGCGCTTTAGCGGCGTAGCTGAGGAGTGCGCCCCTGGGAGTGCCCCCAGGCTGTCCCCGCGGCCCTCCGCGCCCCGCCCCGCGCCTCCCGGGAGTCCCCGGGTTCTCTTTCGCTGAGTGGAAGCCCCCTCCTGAGCCCCTTCACGTTGTGCCCCCGCAGAGCCGCGAAGCACATGGCCTCCCACGCGGCGGCGCCGCAGGGATCGGGACCCGGGGCGGCCCCAGCCGGCTGCCCCAGCCCCGACCCCGCGCTGGGCCCCGAGGAAGCCGAGGACGAGGACGAGGCGCCGGCCGAGGTCTCCCAGAGCGGGGAGTGGATAGGCCTAAAGGGGGCTGGGAGGGGACCTGTCACCACCACCGCCCAGCTTGCCCCATGAGCAGATGATTGCGGGCGAAGCCGCAGCGGCGCTCTGCGTCCGGGGTGCTGCAGACGGTGTCTTCCTCGCCGGACAGGTGCATCTGTGTGTGCTGTGGAACTCAGGACAGCTGGGCATTGCCTACTATGACACCAGCGACTCAGCCATCTACTTCATGCCAGACGCGCCAGACCACGAGAGCCTCAGGCTTCTGCAGAGAGGTGGGGCAGATCCACGAGCAATCCCTGGATTCTCGGGGTTGGAAGTGTATCTCACCCGTGTGCCCTCGCCTGACTTAATCTAGTTCATGGTTGACTGCCAGAGACTCCCTGTGTTGATTTTTAGAATTCATTTCATTACCCAGTAAATATTTATTAGGTGTGTTCAGTGTATTAAGGGCAGCAGATAGAGTCCTTGGCAAATCATTCCTTCAGGGGTTTACAGTCTAGTGACAATCTTCAGGGCACCCTTCTCCCCTCCCACCACTCTGACAATCTTAATACTTTTTCTTCTAAATCTCATTCCTCACTTTTACCTATACTCCCAGTGTGTGATCCCACCCTACTCTTGGAGGAAATAAATTCTTGAGAGGGAAAGAGGGTAGCAAGCAAAGTGCTATGTGTTCATTCTTAGTCCACTGATAAAGATTCTTAAACTCATCGGTGTGGTGGTGTGCACACCTGTAATCCAGCACTCACAAAACTGAAGCAGGAGGATCACTTTTGAGTTCGAGGCCAGTTTGGGGTACACAGTGATTGCAAGGCCAGCCTGAACTACATAGTGAGACCCTATTGAAACACACACACACACACACACACACACACACACACTCCTTAAACTCATTCTCTTTTCTTTTTCCAAGTTCTGGATGAAATCAATCCCCGGTGTGTTGTTACAAGTGCCAAACAGGATGAGTATATGACTCACTTTCTACAAAGGCTTGGTAAGAACTGCATCAGAAAGAAGGAAAATGGAAAAGGACTAATGCATGGAATGTTCTAGAAGGCTAGAATTGGGTGGGAGGAAGTGTGGGACAGAGGTAGGAGGACTGAGAGGTACAGAATGATAGGCTTTTTTTTTTTTTTTTTAACCTCCCACACAGCCTCTCAGGAACACAGAGAGCCAAAGAAACCTGAAATCATATTACTGCCAAGTGTGGATTTTGGTATCTGCTTTTGTTTTACAATGTGCTATCTGAATATCCCCACCTTTTCTCCTTACTCTACCCAATTATCAGAGATCTCCCCTCAGGTTTTCCTCATTGTGAATGGGTTCTCCATGCCCCTTGACTGATCTCCCCAAGATTTCTTCTGCTCCTCTCCTTAATAATCTGAAAATTACTGTGAAGGCTTTCGTTAAACTTTTCTAGTGGTGAGGGCCACCCCTGAAAGGAGGGAGTGATAACATTTTGAATAGCTTGATTGTTGGAACTTTCCCTCTTTAAGCCAAAGTTATTTGTTGCTTAAAAAAAAAAAAAAAGCACTGCCTCAGTGACACTGATGACCCATTAGACATTTCCAAAACCTTTCCAGGATTGCAAAGGGGGTACAGGATATTCTATCCTAATTAGATGTTAGGCATTAGTGTTACTGTTTCCTCTATCAATACAACCTTTTTGACCCCAAATCGCTAATTCAAGACATATCTCTTTCTCTCCTGAGTCATTAATCTTTCTCAGGTTATGCCCTCAACCGAATATACTTAAATTATATACAGAATAAAAGGAAAACTGAACTAAGAACCTGAAATTTTTGGGTCTTGCTGCAGCTTTCCATTTACGGCTTGTATAAACTTGAGCAAGTCAAGTCCCCTGCCTCCCACAACCGCAGCTTGTTCCTAATAGAGTGAAAAAAGTGGGCTACAAGACCTTTCCTATCCCTTCATCCCCAAAATAGGTCTGGAGATAAGCAAACAGCGCCTCCTTTCCGGAAACTACTCCTTCATCCCAGAGTCTATGACAGCCACTGAGAAAATCCTCTTCCTCTCCTCCATTATTCCCTTCGACTGCCTCCTCACAGTGAGCTGGGTCCTGGGGCGTAAAGGTTGGGGTGCAGCCTTGAAGGCACAATCACCCCAATTCTCGGGCTGAGTTCTGGAAGGTACCAGCCTAGCCCTGGGAAGTAATAGTTTTCCTTGCTGGTGTCCAGCCTCCAGGAAGTTAGCATTTACCCCAACTGCACTGCTGACTCCCCTCAGGTTCGGGCACTCGGAGGACTGCTCAAATTCCTGGGTCGGCGAAGAATTGGGGTGGAACTGGAAGACTCTAACATCAGCGTCCCTATCCTGGGCTTTAAGAAATTTGTGTTGTAGGTGGTTCGTTCGAACTTCAGCCAAAGTAAAGTGGGATTGGGAGGCCTGAAAAGTAAGCTGGGGCTGGAGGTGAGGGGCAGTGATCCAGTGGGCGATGAGCTCTAGGACACAGGAGAATTGGAGGGACTGTGGAGCTCGGAGGAGAACACTGAGATGATATTCTAAAAGGGCAGGCCAAGGGCTAGAGCTTTATAACAAACACAGACCCCTCATACCGGAGCCACCTCCCTTGTTTTCTTTCCTCAGGACCCATCTTGTGAGCATAGATCAAGACACGTACAGGTGAGGAGGTGGAGGCAGGCTGCTATCTTTGGCACGAGAGAAGGATTAAGTTTAATGCTCTGATAATCATAATGAGGCTCTAATTTCCCTAATTCTAGGGTTATTAAGAGCTCTCTCCATGAAGGAAAGGGAGGGATGAGGGGTAAGGAAGTACAGAGGCATCACCCGCCTTCCCTTCCTTTTTCTTTCCTTTTTTCTTCTCGCAATGGTGGAGATGGAAACTAGGCCCTGGTACATGCTAAGCAAGGGTTCTACCACTGAGCTACATTCCCAGCCTGTGACCCTCCTTTTCTAAAAGGACAAACTGAGGCACAGAGAAGTGAGCAATGAACCTCACACCAAGATAGTCCCAGGGGGATGTCCCCAGTCCTCATTTTGCTTTCTCAGTTGATTCCTGTTCCTTTCAAAAATCCAATTTACACTGGGTTTGGTAGTGCATGCCTGTAATCGCAGCACACAGGAGGCTGAGGCGGGAGGATCGTTGCAAGTTTGAGACCAGCCTGGGCTACAAAGTGAGCTCAAGGCCAGCCTGAACTGCATAGCGAGACCCTGTCTCAAAAAGATGGAAAAAAAAAAAAATCCAAGTTACCCCACATTTCTCCATTTCCCCCTGACAGTGTTCTACAGATTTTTAAGAGCGAGTCTCATCCCTCAGTGTACAAAGTGGCTAGTGGACTGAAGGAGGGGCTCAGCCTCTTTGGTAGGTGTGCCCGGTCCCTCACCCCACGCTGCAAGAAAAGCAGTTGTCCCCAGAGATGGGTCCCAGCTCCTCTTCCCACTTCTTCCCCGTTCAGTGTCTTCCTCGAGAGTCCAGCTTCCTTGTCTTTGTCCCAGCTCTGACCTTGAGCTTCTCCCACACGTTGTACAGTGTTGTCTGCATGTCAGCTGTGGCTTGACCACTTCTGTGTTCATTCCCGCAGTCTGCAGGGATGTTTCTACCAGTCGGGCCCCTGTTAAGTATGTACAGCAGAGAGCTACATAACTGCTTAACTGCCTGTTTGATCCCTATACAATCTTCATTGGCTGTCTCTGCTTTTAGGATGTCTTAGAGGTATAACCCCAAATATCCGCATTTTCTCAGTGGGTTGGGCCTTATTTTACAGCCGTGCTGCGCCCTCTGTGAGACTTAGCTCGGCCTGCTTTGTGTGTTTTTCTGAGTGTTGTGAGTGTTCATCCTTTCCCCCTTCTTTATGTGCACTAATTCTGGCCAAGATTTGTGGCCAGACCCCAGCGTTGGCTGCCTCTGTTTCCTGTGTCTGAGCCTCAGGCCACCCTGCCTCACAAGCGCTCACCTCTTGTCCACACCCCCACAGGAATCCTCAACAGATGCCGCTGTAAGTGGGGAGAGAAGCTGCTTAGGTGAGTGGGGCTCAGACATGCTACACACTGATGCATCGTTGCATGTCCCTGTTACCCTTTAGTGCTTACTAATCGCAGTCTGCAAACTCACACACACCATGCCCTCCAGTGGTAGTCGTAAAACAACTTCCCTTTACTGAGTGGTGGCTAAATGCATGTAATCCTTACAATAATCCATGCAATCACTGATATTACCCTCATTTTACGTTGACAGCACAGATAGACATATACCCATTGCTGATACACAGACTTGCGTACAAAAAAGCAGCAGGGCCAGGTACAGTGGTGCACACCTATAATCCCAGTTCTCAGGAAGCTGAGGCAGGAGGATTTCTCTGAGTTTAAGGTCAGCCTGAACTACAGAGCAAAACCTTGTCTCAAGAAAGCAAAACAAACAAAATCACCACAAAACATTAATGTAAGCCAGGCATGGTGGCACATGTGCGTAATTCCAGCACTTGGGAGGCTGAGGCAGGAGGATTGTTGCGAGTTCAAGACCAGTCTGGGGGGGCTGGGGATTTAGCTCAGCGGCAAAGCGCCTGCCTGGCAAGCACAAGGTCGTGAGTTTGATTCCTGGTACTGGAAAAAAAAAAAAAAAAAGACCAATCTGGGCTACAAAGTGAACTCAAGGCCAGCCTGAACTGCAGAGTGAGACCGTCTGAAAAAGACAAAAACAAAACAAAACAACAACAAAATGTAACACAAAGCCATATCTTTCATTATAAAAACACACTTCAGTCAGGTATAGTGTTGCACACCTGTGTTCCTAGCACTCTGAGAGGCTGAGGCAGGAACATCAAACATTTGATCCCATCCTGCACAACTCAGCAACTAAGATCATGTCCCAAAATTTAAAAAAAAAAAAGTTTAAAAAAAATTTTAAAACAAAAAAAATCCTAAAACAGTATGATAGGAAGGTAACAATGGTTAATACATTGCATATTGTTATCTTTAAATTAGTTACTCCGAGTACAAGATATCAACATTTAATTGTCCAAATGATATTAGCACAA